CCAAATTTACCAACAGAGTGCATTGCCGATGCCATCCCACTGACATTCCACTGAAACAGCGAGTTTTCACGCTTCCCTTAGTAGGTCTGCTGGTGACAAACTAATTCATTTATATTTATGGGAGAATGTCCACTATTCTTCCTTCATTCCTGAAGGATAGTTTTGCTGGGCATAGAATTCCAGGGTGGTGGCTATTTTCTCTCAACACTTTCGGAAGGGATCAGGCCATTGTTTTCCATTTTCCATGGTTTCTGGTGAGAAGTCAAATTCTATCTAAGCCTTGCCATGAACTGGACACTTAAACAACAGGTGGTCATTTTCTCCCAGTTCTGGAGGCCAGAAGTCTGAAACCAAGGTGTGGCCAGGTGCACTCCTAAGAGACAGTCCTTCCTGCCACCTCAGTATCCAGGGCCCCATATGCTCCTCCAAGTCTCTGCCTCCATCTTCAGTGCCTTTTCCCAAGTGTCCTTTTCTGTCTCTTATAAGGACACTCCCATAGAACTTAGGACTCATCTTCATCCAGGGTGATCTCATCTCAATCCTCATCTTAACCACAACTACAAAGAACTTATTTCCAAATAAGTCACAATCTGAGGTTCTGGGTGGACATGAACTTGGGGGACATTACTCACCCAGTCCAGAGCTGAATGAGAGGACATGGGCCGTATACACCTGTGAGTTCTATACCTCAGACTGGCTATCCCCCCCCCGGGATGGGTGGAAGGGGTGGTCGGCCTGAGGTGGGGGTCCCTGGGTAAGTGCAGGCAGCCTAGAGGCTCTGAGGGGCCCTGGATCCAGGCTCCTGTCCTGCCACTGTCTGGAGCCCAGAGGTGACTCCAGAAAGGTGGCCACCATTACAGGGGGCTGAGAATGAAGGTAAGCGATGAGGGAGTCACCCTGCTCTCATGGGGACGGGCTGCTCTGAGTTTCCTAGGCAGCCGTGGGCCCTGGGCAGCCCCAAGGCTTCCTGGACATCACCCAGTAGAGGCCTTATGAAAACATTACATCCAGGCTGGGTTGGGGGGCACAAACGGTAGCTGACTGGAGTGTGACAGTCAGGAAAGCATCTGTGCTAAAACATAGTTGAATCTTTTTTAAAAAAGAAAAACTCAGGAGAAATGGAAAGACGGTGGCTGAGTGGGAGCCACACGGACACTCTCCCGGGACCCAACTGGAATTACAACTAAAACAGAGAATAAACCATCCTGAATAACCAACTGCAGCTGAAGATGAGCTGGAGGCACCCTCATAACCAAGGAGGAAAAGGGGAGACTGCACAGAGACAAGTAGAAAGGGCAGAGGCACGAGAGGGCTGCCTGGGCTTCCACAGGCAGCAGCTGAAGGTCCGGAGGGAGATCTCAGCTGTGGGGGGTTCCCATTGAGGACTCTGGGGCCTAAACCCCAGGCTGGGCTCCCCAGCCCAGAGCACCAGACCTGAGACAGGTGCCCACATAACCTCTGGTTGTGAAAAGGAGCCGCGTTTCTATCTGCCAGGGAGAGACGGCTGGAAATGCAGACACCCCTTTAAAAAGCCAATGCACAAAGTTTCGTGTGCAGCCACTCACCCTGGGCTCCAGCGGAGGGAGGGCAGAGTGAACTGGAGCTGTGTGAGGCGAGTCCATGATGCTGGCTGGGAGAAGAAGAGCTCAGAGGGCAGCCATCTGGATTCCTGTGCCAAGTCATTCCCCCAGACTGCAGAGGACGTCTCTCTCAGGCAGGCATTTAGCATCCAAGCAGAATTTGTTTGCTGGGGAAGCAATTGCCCCACCCCCTGAGAAACCTCTTGACCCGCCCAGTGGAGTTTCTACAGCCTGAGGCTCATTAAGAGACTGAATAACAATCATCTTCCCCACCCGTGGAGTTTCTACAGCCTGAGGCTCATAAAGAGACTGAATAACATTCAGTCTCTTGGTGCTTTGAGCCTTTGTCTGATCTGCTTCTGGACCCAAGGCTTAGAAAAGCAGACCTTGGTGGGCATCTTGGTCCTTTCTAAACGCACCCAGTCCCAGCAGAGGAAACCACAAGCTATGGAGCATGGTAAGCTTCTAACAGGGTACTCAAGGCCAGTCACAAACAGCATCTGACATTGACCTGCACCAGAGACCCTCCAAAAAGACTGGGAGTCCTAGCAGATCTACCTAATACATAGAAACAAATCCAAACAGGCAACCAAAATGGGAAGACAAAAAAAACACAAGCCACTGAGAGAACAAAAGAATTCTCCAGAAGAGGAGCTAAATGAAATGGAGGGAAGCAATCTATCAGATATAGAGTTCAGAATACTGATCATAAGGGTGCTCAACAACATGAGAAAAGAAATGGAAACTATGAAGGAAATGAAGAATGACATAGAAATAAAGAAGGAATAAACAGCAGATTAGAGGAAGCTGAGGATCAGATCAGCAAATTAGAAGGCAGGGTAGAAAAAATCACTCAATCAGAGAACCAAAAAGAAAAAACAATTAAAAAACAGGAGGACAGCTTAAAGGAGCTATAGGACAACATGAAATGTAACAATATTTGCATTACAGGAGTAGCAGAGGAGGTCAAAAGTAAGTACGGGTTAGAGAACCTGTTTGAAGAAATAATGGCAGAAAACTTCCCTAACCTGGTGAAGGGAAAAGTCACACAAGTTCAGGAGGCACAGAGAGTCCCAAGCAGAAGAACCCAAAGAGGCCCATCCAGACACATCATAATTAAAATGCCAAGAATTCAAGACAAAGAGAGAATCTTAAAGGCAACAAGAGAAAAGCAATGTGTTGCCTACAAAGGAACTCCCATAAGGCTGTTAGCTGACTTCTCATCAGAAACCCTACAGGCCAGAAGGGAATGACATGAAGTATACAAGGTAATGCAAAACAAGGATCGGAAACCAAGACTACTCTGTCCACCAAGGCTATCATTCAAAATAGATGGTGAAATAAAGAGCTTCCCAGATTAAAAAAAAAAAAAAAAAGAGGCTAAAGAAGTTTATCACCACCAAACCAGCATTGCAAGAAATGTTAAAGGGACTGCTATAATAAGAAGTAGAAAGAGAGGGAGAGAAACATAGGCATAAAGAAATAAAATGGCAATAGATAAGTATCTTATCAATAATAATCTTAAATATCAATGGATTAAATGCTACAATCAAAATGGATAAGAAAACAAAGCCCAAATATATGGTGTCTACAAGAGACCCCCCCCTCAGAACAAAAGACTTACACAGGCTGAAAAATAAAAACTTCTCAAGGACATTAAAGGAGAGACTGACAGCAATACAATCATAGCACTTTATTGGATAGATCTTTCAGACAAAAAATCAACAAGGAAACAGTGACTCTAAATGACACACTAGATCAGATGGATTTAATTGACATTTACAGAACATTTCACCCCAAAGCTGCAGAATACGCATTCTCTTCAAGTGCACATGGGACATTCAAGTTAGGACTAAAATAAGTCTCTACAAGTTCAAGAAGATTGAAATCATATCAAGCATCTTCTCAGACATTTACACCATGGAATACTATGCAGCTGTTAAAAAGGATCCTTTACCCTTTGAGACAGTGTGGTGGGACCTGGAAGTATTATACTAAGCGAAATAAGTCAATCAGAGAAAGACAAGTGTCACATGATCTCACTCATATGTGGAATCTAATGAACAAAATAAACCGATGAACAAAATAGATCCAGAGACATAGAAGCATGGAACAGGCTGATGAATCTCAGCGGGAAAGCAGGGGTGGGTAGGTGAGTGGGTGGGGAGAGATTAACCTAAGAACTTGTATGCATGTATGCATGACCCATGGACACAAACAATAGTGTGGTGAAGGCCTGGAGGGAGGGATCCAGGGAGAAGGGGGTCAATGGGAGGCAAAGGGGGACACTTGTAATACTTTCAACAATAAAGATAAATTAAAACATTAAAAAAATAAAGTTAGTTGGACACCTGAAATTGATATATTATTAATCAATGTTATCCCAATAAATTTAATTTAAAAATTTTTTGAAAAAGTCAGAAACACCATAAGGATCGTCATGGTTATGGCCTGGGGAGGGGTCCATGTGGGGTCATTTCTATTTATTTATTTTTTATTTTTCATTGATTTCAGAGACAAACATCGATTTGTTGTTCCCTTTACTGATATATCATTGGTTGATTCCTGTATGTGCCCTAACCAGGGATCGAACCCGCAACCTTGGCATGTGGGGACGACACTAACCAACTGAGCTACCCAGCCAGGGCACGCTTCTATTTTGTCTTTACAGTTTCCTACATATCCAAAATTTGCTACTATGAGCATATTTCACTTTTATAACCAGAAATGAAGAAGAAGAGGGGATCAAAAGGTGCTCCCAGGGGCCCTGCTCACTACAGTCCAGTGGGACATCCAGACAGGCAGGGCAGCCCATTTGCAGACAGCACAGGTCTGGGGCTGCCATGCTAAGACCTGTTTCCTGCCCTCATCCTGCTCCCACCTCTGATGCCCCAGGCTTTGGAGAACTTGGCCAAGGGGTTGGGGGTGGGGGGTAGACAGTGCAATGAGACTGGGGGAGCAGTGGTCAGAGAAGTGAGCTAGAGAACTGGGTGCTCTCCTTGGGGCTTTGACAGGGAAATAAGAGAAACATCCCTGGACCCAAATGCACAACCTCTTTATTTCCCATCCAGAAGCCAGAAAGCAGAGCAAGACTTAAGAGCCAAAGACCAGGGCAGTGTAGCACCTGTGCTAGTCTAAGGGCCCCCGAGTCACCCTTGGCCATGGTCCACCGCCCACCCCTACGAGGCTGAGCCCACCTCCCTTGGCTTCCAGCTGCACGCACCCTTCTCAAACACCAGCTCGGCTTGTTTAAAAGTATTAAAACTGAACTTCTGTGTCACTGCAGAGAGTCCTTCATGGAGACCCACCCTCACGACTCTGTGAAGAAGCCAAGGGTCAAAGGCGCCTCTCCAGGAGGCACCCAGAGCTCCATCCAGGCCCCTGGCCCCTTTCCCCCTCATCTTGGGTGCACCTGGACAGGCCTGGTCAGAGGACTCTTCAGGAGGGCCAGCACGGCTCCCGAGGCTTGCTCCCCAGGCTGGTTGGACTGGGGCCGGGAAGTACGTTCTCCAGGACCTCGCGCAGGGAGAAAACACAAAAGGAGATCTCCTCGTAGGACACCCTGGCTCCATTCTCATACAGACAGGCGAAGGTCAGGGAGCCCTCAGCGGTGGGCCCAATGGATGCCAGGTCAGAGTAGCCACTAGGGCCCTGGTAGATCACCCAGGGCTCCGTCCAGCTGTGGGGGTCCAGGGGGAACCTGCTCAGATGGATACCCATATGGAGCCGAGCCCTGCGCCCTGCTGGGTGGGAATACAGCAGCCATGTGGGGCTCTGATACAAGGCAACTGGGAGCCTGGTGAGCTGTGGGGTACAGGCTCTCCAGTCCCCACCGAGCCCTGGCCCTGGGCTAGGTTCCCTGGGGCCAGGGCCCCATGGACCATCCCCATATCCCTCTGTCCCTCCCAGACCCCCACCCCCTTGGGTGTCTCCAGCGCCCTCCTCTGGGGATTCCTGGACTTCAGAACAGAGGTTTGGAAGAAAGGGGGTCTTCCTGGAGCCCAATGACCATCCCTCATCACTGGATCTACTAGAGGGTGGGGCCGGGAAACCCAGGATGCTGCCCTGGCAGCCCCGGGCAGTCTCAGCCAGGGTGGGCACCAGCTCTCCTGGCAGGAAGGAGGTGCCCTGGTCTGTGCTGAGGGCCTGCACACGGCTGCCCAAGGGGCTGCGGGCGTTGCAGTAGAGGACACTGCCCGCCTGCCCTCTGTCCACCACAGCCAGCTGGCACTCGCCCGAGCGTAGGTTGGACACGAGGCCTCCATGGTGCCAAGTCTGGCCATGGTCATCGCTGTAGAAGGCAAAGGCGTGGGGGCTGGTCCTGCAGATCTTGCCAAAGCACTCCCGCCGGTCCACACGATAGGTGTAGGCTGGCACCAGCAGGCGGCCAGAGCGCAGCTGGATGCCATGGCCAGGGCCCACGGCAAAGGTGGCCCAGTCTGCAGATGGGAGGGGCTGCTGGTTACCTCAGAGGGGGACAGCCACAGCCGCAGGGGTTGGGGAGGATGGGGGGCAGCGCCTCAGATCAGGGGGCAATTTGTGAGAGACCCACCACTGACTGTGCCTCCTCCACCCTTCACTCCTGGCCACCCTGAGTCCTTTGGGGCTGGTCAAACCTCCTAAGGACATCAGCAGGGGTGGGGAGCCCAGGTAGGCCACCTGGCCAGGTTAGCAGCATGTGAGCAGGTGGCCAGTCCCCAGACACAGGTGGATAGTTAACTGTGCGCAGGGTGAGTGCTTTCAGACAGGGGCGGCCAGGGGAGTGGGGCGCGGAGCTTCATGGCTGGGTAGCCCTCCTGGCCCTGGCTCAGCTCCCCTGGGGTGGGGTCCACACCCACAGGAGGCTCTGTAATAGATCCAGGTCTCAGAGCCGCCGCCAGCCGCGGTTGGGGTGGCCCCGCGGCAGTGGGGGGTTAGGCTCTTGGGGAGGGGCAGCTGGACAGGAGGAAAAGCTCTGCGGTAAAATCAACCTGCCCACAACCCTGGGGTGACACCCGCCCCCGCTCCCGCGAGAGGCTGAGGAGGAGGAAGTGGAAAGAGGGAGGCCTTGGGGTTTGGGGGCGCAGATTAAGACGCAGCTCAGGAATAAGAAGAGCCTGCTCCTGCAGGTGCGACCAACACCGTCCCCGGACTCAGGGCTGGCGGACGGACAGCCCAGCAAGCTGCGGACAGGGCCCTTGGCTGGGGCCGAGGCTGGGGCGGGCAGCCCAGGGACCT